CTTCCCTTCAAGGCTCAGGGGTCCAGGATTATCTTCTGTGTCTGTGTTAATTGGTTCCCCTTTTCTTTGTTGAAGAGGGTCTGTGCAGTCTTTCTGCCTATTCCACCATCTTGGAATCTGTTGTTAAATTTTTAAATTTAGAAACTATGATTGTTAGTTCCAGAAAGTTTTTGTTTGCTTAATTATATCATATTAAGACATCTCATTAAATTGTCATTACAGTCTTCTTTTTTCCCATTGGTTCTGCCTCAAAAAACTAACCCTAAAAACTAAACTCACTGCCGTTGAGTTGGTTCTGTCTCATAGAGACTGCTCCTTGGGTTTCCGAGGTGGTATCACTACCGAAGTAGATTGACCAATCTTCCTTCCAAGGAGTGGCTGGTGGGTTTGAACCACCAGCCTTCTGGTTAGCAGCCAAATGCCTTAAGCACTATAGCTAGATTTTCTACTTGTTCAACTTGGCATTTCTCTTTGATCTGTGATTTTTCTTTATCTCCTTATGAGTTGTTGTTTTTAGGTGTCATTGAGTCAATTTTCAACTCATAGCAACCCCTTGTGACAGAGAAGAACTGCTCATAGGATTTTCTAGGCTGAAATCTTTGTCTAACAGATTTCTAGGTCTTTCTCCCATGGAGTTGCTTGGTGGTTTCCAACAGCCAACCTTTCAGTTAGCAGCCAAGTGCTTAAGCAGTACACCACCAGTGCTCCTATTCCCCCATTTTGGTCAAGCTGTGAGATCTCTCTGGCAGTGGAGAACCTAAAGAAAAGATGAATCAAGTATTTATTATCAGGGCAGGTGACAAACATGCCAGAGCTAGCATCCTCTACACTTGAGGTGAAGGTGAGGATAGGAGTTTTCTTAGGCCCAGATGCTAGCAGGGAAAGAAGAGCAGCCCTTTCCCATCTCCTCAGAATCCCCTTCTTTGAGCATTTGGACACAAAGTTAAAGTAGTTCAAGGATCCCCAGTCCTACCTACAGAAACCCTTAGGTTGGAATTCAAATCATACTAATAGAGAGATTGAAGTATCTGGGACCATGTGAGTGAGGAGTGAAGGTAGTTGGAATGCTAATCCATATAACTTCCTTGAAATTAGGAATGTTTTATATTCATCACTTCATATGCTTCTTAATCTTCCTAAGAGAAGTTTCAGATTTTCTTTTTTTAGTGTATGAATTTTAGTACTTAAAATTTCTAATTGACAACATTGTAAGAGAGATCACAAGGGAACTTTTCCTATTGAGCACTGAGCTCAGCCAAAAAGAGGTCCCAGGACAAGCTATACTCCAAAGCCAAATAGCAATCCTTTCTGCCTTAAAGTTGTGCAGAACTTCAAAAACCACTTTAAGGCCCTGTATCAAGCAAAGCTCCTATCATCTTGTAAGATAAGTAGGACAGGTATGGTAGTTAAGTTTGTGTGTCAACTTGGCTGGGCCTGGTTGAGTGGCTAGGCAGCTGGATGCAGTATTCCCCATGATGAGACTGGCAATCAACTCCATGGTGGAATCTATTATGAGCAGCTGAGTAGCTGCCATAGGGAGTGTGCTCTTCTTCCTGTATATAAGGAGAAGCCTTGGGGAATAGTCTCTAGCTTATGGTGTGCTTGAACCCTACGTGTAGTCAGTCGTTGTTCAGCAGCCTGCCATACTCTGGAGGCCTTAGGACTTTCAGTGGACTTAAATTAATGGCCTGTTATGTGGTTTGGTAATATCGGGACTGTGCCTTTTACTTGTCAGCCTTGGGCTTGTCAGCCTCAGCAGCCAGCAGCTAAGTGAAGAAAAGCCTCCAGCTTCAGTGGGCCGGGAGCAGGAGGCAGAGCTGAAGCCCAAGGTTGAAAGGCTTTCACCCAGCCCCTGGAGCCTGGCACTTTGAACTTGGACTTAAAGCCTCCAAACTGTTTCTTCAGGCCATCCCATTGGTGTTATGTTCTTGTCAGAGCAGCACTAGGTAACCAAAACCGCAGATATTCCTAGTTCCATTTTACGATGAGAAACCGAGGCTCAGAGGCACCACGTAAATTGCCCAAAGTCACATAATGAATAAAATGACAGAACTGGCACCTTAGTTTACTCAAACTTAGTTGATTTGGAAACTACTTGTCATTTTATTGAAAGTAATTCCTCAGATTCATTCATTCTTTCATTCAAAAAATATTTGTTTGGGGCCTACCATGTGCCAGGCACTATTCTTGGGCTATTTAAAACATTCATACAATATTTTATAGTTAAAGCCCTTTTGCATACATTATCTCAAATATTTTTTTCTATTAATTTTATTTTCTCTACACTAAAAACACCAAAAGCCAAGCCCACAGCCATTGAGTCAATTCCAACTCATAGCGACCCTGTAAGACAGAAGAACTGCCCTCATAGAGTTTCCAAGGCTGTAAATCTTTATGGAAGCAGATTGCCTCATCTTTCTCCCACAGAGTGGCTGGTGGGTTCAAACTGACAACCTTTTGGTTAGCAGCTGCTGCACCACCAGGGCTCCTACATCATATATATAATATATGTAAATCACTAACAATGAGTAGATTCCAAATCATAGCAACCTAATGGGACAGAGTAGAACTTCCCCCGTAGGGTTTCCAAGGCTGTAAATCTTTACAGGAGCAGTGTGCTACATTTTTCTCCATGGGGTGGCTGGTGTGTTTGAACCTCTGACCTCTAGGTTAACAGCAAGCACTTAATCACTGCATCACTAGGATTCCTCCTCTATGGTAGGATGCATATATGTGTATAGCTGAAAGTAAATTTCTTACTGTAAATAGAAGAAAACTGAGGCATGCCTCTATTAGGCATTTTTTATCTATTAATAGCTGAGATTAACAAAGACTCTGTGTTGCTCACAGTTGAGGCGTTTGTTTGTTTTTTTTTTTTTTTCCTATCTTTCTCTGCCAGACCAAATGGCCTTCACTCTTTTATTTGTTTATTATGTTTCAGAACACCTGTGAGCCTAGTTAATAACATTTTAGCATTTTATGAGTTTTAGTCAATGGACAATGAACATTCAGGAAAATTCATGTCAGAAATTAACACTTAATGGGAGAAAAAAAAAGTGGGATTGGACAAAGTTTCTTTATTAGAACTCCTTAAATTCTTTTGATTCCTTGCAGGTAATGAAAACTGTCTAGAGGTACTTTTGGAGCAGAAATGTTTTCGCAAGTTTATCGGTAATCCCTTTACTCCACTGCATTGTGCAATGTAAGTAGAAATGCTGGAGGTTAATGGTGCTGCTTTAATTTTTTAACTACACATGGAGAAATTGCATTTTAGGGGAGGAAAAAGCTTTTCGATTACAGATAAGACCAATATATTCCATTTTGCTGCTCAAGACAAATAGCTCTGATAGCCAAGTGTGGTCCCGAATGTTAATGATTTTCCAAGAGCTTTCAGAGAAATGCCACAGCTCCAAGGTGACTCACACACCACCATGGGGAAACCACATGATAAGGTGGACTGAGTGGTACGTTACACAAATGTGGTGAGGCCTTGTTCAGATGTACCTCACAGTCTCAAAATAAGTCACATTAAGAACAATATGTCCGTGGATGATTTGAGAGACATTTTTATACCAGGAAGATATTTCTTGTATCACAATTCTCCATTCTTCATACTTTGTAAGTCCTTTTTTGGTAAATATAATTTTTGTTCCAATGTCATTATATGAGCTATTATTGTTCAAGTATATTCTGTGTTTAACCTACTCCAGGTATAGTCACTACTTATAGCTTATAAAGAGAGTCCAGTGACTCTCCTGGGGTGCATGGTTACCTGGGGCCTGTGGTCAGCCTAGAAGCTTAAGTTCACCTAGAGGTCCATGGTTAACCTGGGGGCCCAAGACCCAAGGATCCTTTGTCTTTGCACTGTCTTCAGGCTCCATATGAAGCTAGGTCATTTGAATGGAAAGATATGGAAGGCATAAAGTGGATCAAAAAGAAGGAATAAGTGGTAAAGATTAGGTGTGATTTTAAATCTGAAGGAACTCTGTCGTTCATATCCCCGAAACACCTAACATGGTGGCTTGTATACATGGTATGCAGTACACTCCTACCTGTGTTTCTAAAGAGGGGCTTAGGGGTTACAGAGTGGTTACCATTGAATAAGGGGACCACAGATGTTATGCATCAGGTTTTTTAAAATGCATCAAATTGTTAAGTACACAGTGCATAGGAAGATGGGGCAGGAGGGAATATGGTTTTTTTTTTTTTAAAGAAAAAAAAAAGAGTTGAGAGTTTTAAATTTAAAATTCATTTTCATTTTAGAATAAATGACCATGAGAGTTGTGCATCACTGCTACTTGGGGCCATAGATTCCAGTATTGTCAGTTGTAGAGATGACAAAGGAAGGTGAGTGATCTAAGAAAGCATGCCCTTCTCTTGATAAATCTGATCCTCTGCTTTGTGGTTGCAGACTAGCCAAGTATCTAATATGTTTTAACTGAAAAAGTAATATATAAATATGGCTCTTAAAAATTAGATATTACAGTTAGATAGA